GCTCATATTTAGATAATTACATATATCTTATTATCAGGGCTTGTTATGCACACAACTCAATGTACAGGGAATGGCGATTTTAAACACCAAATCTATGATCTTTTAAATGACAAAAAGGAAAGGTTTTATAAATTGTAAGGCTGATGGATGAAAGTAATTTTTTATCATGAGTATGGGCGATGTGATGTTTACCGATATAATAGGGAAAAGTCCTTACAATTGTTATGTTTTTGAAGGGAACTATTTAAGCTATACATGTACACTTAAAATTTATCAGGGAAAGGGTATCAGTACCATTTTGTGGCACGAACAGTTTATAACTGCTCTTGATAGGAGAGTCATCATTGAAATCACAACAGACATATGTTTAAGAACATGAGAACGGAATATACAATGATTGCATATTTATCAAGTAATAATAGGAAATGAACAAAATTGGAATGTTGATATTTAAAACTTACTAAAGTACCAATTGAAAGTTTATTTAGTCTAGGCATTAAAATCGATAATAATGCAAGCAAAAGCATGTAGAATACAATAATCTATAATTATTGCAAGCCATAGTCAAGTTCATGGTTTTGTAAGGAACGCCTTAAAAAAATTCGCTTTATGTTTGATCTATTTTACTCCATTATATCTGTTAAAGCCTATTTAATAATTTAACGTATAAGAAAAAATGTGCCCGAAGAAAGGTTTCAGATTTAAAAGATTCGTATGCTGATTGCATGTATTTAAGATACATGAAAGACACATATTGAACAAGCATTCTGAGAGTATTGCATTAACAATACTAATCCCCTACCGGCAAGTGTAATCTGGTTCCCGTTAAAAATTGAAAATGCTATAATTCTGTCAAAAATCAATGAAACGAAACGAAAGTCAAAATTGATCTATAAATCATCAAGGTGAAGTCACATACCAAAAATCAGCTCTATATCTGAAAGCGTTTAGAAGAAAATTGCGGAAAACCCTGAAAAATTTAAAAGGCCGTAATTCCGTCAAAAAACAATGAAGTGGAACAAAATGCAAACTTATTCTGATACTCATCAAGATACACTCACATACCAAAATTCAGCTCAATATCTGCAAGGGTTTAGAAAAAAGTGTGGAAAAGCAAGCGGGACAGACTGACAGACAGACAGAGGGACAGACAGACGAACAGACAGACAGACGTACGGACAGACTCAGAGGAAACCTATAGTCCCCTTCGGTTTCACCGGTAGGGGACTAATAATATGCAACTGGTATACATTACATATGGTATAATTAAGTGGCCAGTAGTGAGTCTGTATTTATACAGCTATGTAACAATGCTGAACTTCATTTTTGTATACTTTAATTCCAATAAACAGAAGAAAACAATTTTTAACAGTATGCTTAAACATTTTCGACGTCATCGACATTCTTAAATCCCGAATGGGAAGCAAGAATATATTAATTCTATAATCTCTTGCATATTTCATCATTTCTGCATCGTTTTCAGCCAAGCATGAGAAGAAATGTGTGAATGGATGTGAAAAGTCGTCAAGATATTTCAAGAAATTTAAATCGATATGCATATTAAAAAATTATAGTAAAAAAGTAAAAGTCGGGATGTGGTCTGTTCTAACAAGGAGAGGGAATAAAGTGAAGCGAAATGCCTTCGTAAGTAAAATATTGTCAATTTCCGATATCCTTAATGTGCACAATGTACTTATTCTTTAGTTTATTGTATTGGGAAATGTTGTCATTACCCCTGGATCATCTCAAAAGCATGGCGTGAACATGTATATTTTAAACAGGTCTGGATGATTTCCGAATATGGAAGTCAAGATCGATAACTGAAAGTTGTTATAAATATACTTCAAGCATACTTCAAAAAGTCGAACTAAAAACAGTTATTTGTTCATCATATACATGTATTTCAAAGATATTTCAATTTGATAATTATAATTTAATAATAATAATAAAAGCTAGAGCAAAGCTCGTTGCAAAGCAACGAGCAGGTCTTCCAACAGGCGATGGACGTCGAAAGTAATATATAACGAGTTTTTTTTTTATCCTTATTAAAATAAAATTTAGGCAATTTTCTTTAAAATGGGCCAAAAATTCATTTTTTTTTTAAATTCGGCTTTCAATTCGGACTTTGTACATCACTACCGGTTGACGTCGAAAGACACAAGGCCATAAAAGAATTTAAAAAAACTCAAAAAAAGTAAAAGCCATTTTATACTATTTCTAACGATTTTAAAGAAAAGGCTTCTTTTTCCTTCTTCTTCCGGTTTAAACCGGAAATACTCTCAATGGTTTGCTTTTGTTCTCGATTATATATTTGAACATAAGTTCTATATTCCTTTATTCAAAACCGTTCTTTTTTTTTAAAAATCGGTAAAAAAAAAAAAAATCACTTCCCCTGTCGACCGGAAGTAACGGATGCGAAAACAAAAGGCGTAATGCACAAAGCAAAGAGATATTCTCTCAACTCTGAAAAAAAAAATCATGATTCTATTTTGAATAGTTTAAACGAAAATGCGTGGACAAAATGAAAAAAAAAAATGAAAATCGGACAATAATTTGACCTGAAGTGATTTTAAAAAAAAATGGAAAAAAAAAATGTCTGGAGATATTATAATGATGCATCATTCCTGCAAAAAATCTTTGAATTTCGGTCGATTAGGTTCCTAAAAATCGCGTGTACTATGAAAAGAGAATAATAGTACATGTAATAATATGAAACATAAGCTAAACAGTATGGTCTTTCGAAGCAAGTCGGAAGACCGTTTTAATAATATTAATAATAATGATAATAATAATGCTCTTCCATGGAATGTCGCTATCCTGAATATGAAAAATACTGCCAAGAGCGATGTAATTTTTCAGAGGAGTTGTGTGACATATCAACAGGTAGTACTAGTAACTACATGTATTCCTTTTATAAGTGATTGTCAATTTTTCTCATATTGTCAATGTAATGGGAAAGGTAATACATTTTTATTTTATGATTGAAAAAATACTATCTCTCCGATTAGCTGAGATCCAATGATGTAGAAAAATATTATGTTATATTCACCTGCACGTGTCCTTCCAAGTGAATATAGGGATTTATTCTCTTTACATTGATCTAAAAATAGATCAGGAAATTTCAAAGTGATACACATAGTTTTGGGAAGCTATTTTACTTGCTACCGACTTCCAATCAGGTGAATATAATTTTAGAAAATATATTATTTGGGATGGGGTTGGTTTAGGGGGTGGGGGTTGAGGCAGGGTGACCTTCATCCCCTCAAACATTTTCTTTGTGAAGGTAAATATTTACTTTTAATTTATGCTAGAAAATGAAGGCACGAATGAAAATCATTACGAAGATATAGATCGACAGAAAGCAGATAAGAGCAGAAAAGTAGATTTGCTTTCTTCAGAAAATTATTACATTGATTAGCTGGTTTTCTTAAATAAAGAAAATAAATTTGACAAAAAAGATTCCAATCATTTTTACTTTGAAATGATTAACTGTTATTCAAAATAATTAATTTGAAAAAAGGAACAGAATGTATATCAAATGAAAAAGAAGTAACAAAGGAATAACAAAAACAAGTCTGAAAAATATGAAGATGAATGATATGTGAAATTCGCATTCCATATTTCAGATCAAACAGTCTAGTCTATGCCTCTGCCCATTTGAAGTTAATCACGAATACGCTTATCATTTTAGCTATTTTCTTTACACTATCTGTCCTTGTGCAGCTTATTAAGCTTAGATAAATTGATTATGTATACAACTGTTTTTAAAGAAGTAATTGCTTTTAGTGTAATTCGCGAATCGCCGCACTTTCTGTAAGCCCCGCACCTTTTCACAAACTACGTCACGGATGCTGAGGTAAGACAAACATCTCTTTATAAACATGGCGACAAAGAGTAAAGATCAATACGTTTTTGCAGTTTTATCCGACTTGCCTACGGACATATCCGAAAATTATATAGAGGGAGAAATTTCATTGAAAGCATAACAGCAAGGTTTTAAATATTACAGCGAGAATTATTTCGAGAGAGTGAAAATGTATAAAAGCGACAAGGATAATAAAGTCCGAATTTCCGCAAAATGTCACCGCTCCCAACGGAAAAAACAGCTCTCCGCATTCTTTAAATCTAGACGTATCGCCAGGTTCCTTGCAATTGGCGCATTGTACATGCACAGCTGGGTATGTTTTCTTCTTCTTTTTTTTTTTTTCAAATTTGATGCATAAAACGTTCCGATATCTTTGCTATGAAAATTGTAAAATCAAACCTGGCAATCGTTTTTTTCCAGAGTCAGTGGGTCATGCTCTAGCATTATTGGCTTGCTGATGGCTCTTCAGCATTGGATTCTTATGGGTTTTAAAGCAGTCCCTGATAACCTAACGTGTACTAGTTTGCCCCAGCAATGGTCTGTGCCAAGAGGAAGCAAGATTGAAAGTTCAGCTGCCCCCCCCCCCCCAAAATTTGCATTATTAAACCCCATCCTGATAGAAAACAGAAACCCGTAGAAAATGTGTTGACAGAATGCAGGTAAATAAAAATCGCATTAAAACCTTATTATTAAATGTTAGCAATAATTTAAAACTTATAATGTGTACATGTATTTAAATTTTATAGTTATTTGATTAAAAGTGACTATTTTTAGGAAGTTTTATGTGAATGGGGAAGATGTTGACCATTTAAAGGCCTTAAAAGGATTGCCAATCAGCTACTTGGTGTCAAATCCCATGAAGAAAAAAGTGACGCATTTGGGTGAAGTTGGAATAGGAAGTGGTTAAAGCAAACATGTACGTATTGTAATATAATTTAATAGATTACTTCTCTCTCTCTCTCTCTCTCTCTCATATATAACAAAAACTTTATTTATTTAGTCAATCTTTTAATACTTTATCATATGTGATATATACATGTAATTATATTTCATCAAATAACATCAATAATGCATGTACATTATATACTGGGATAATGCACTTTGACAAGAAAATGCTCTGTTATGAAATTGCAGATTAATGCCTATTCAAATTTAAAAGCATTCACTCAGGTTTTGTTTTTAATGCAAGGAAGAAAAAAATTTGAAAGCATTGCACAGACATACCATATTTGGTTAATCAAAGTAAATAAAGAAAGTTTAAATTTTCCAGATAAAATTTTAAAACGTTTGATTCTCTCAATAGCTCTTTCAACATGGACTCTGTGTTTAGCAATTTTCTTGGTAAGTAAAGCATCACTCTTGGACATTTGTTTTCCAATGGTTGAAAAGGGTGGTATGTTTAATTGCAGCCCACATTTCTCTACTTCCTCTTCAATGTTGAATCCTTTATCTGCCATGAGTCCATCTCCTTGGAGTAGGTAACCCTCATCCAACAAGTCTTTGAGCATGTCTTCAAACTTCGATTGAACAAAAATGTCCTTATCAGATATACCACCACTAAACAACATTGAAGCAAATGTAACTGAACCCCTTGGATCACACACTACTAAACCTTTCATAGTATTGCAGCTTTTATAGTCACTGTAGGTTTGTGATTGGGCCTTAAGAGATGATGGTTTGTTTATTTTTATTTCCGTACAGTCAAGAATACCAAAAGTTGTCGGAAATTCTTCTTTAAATTTGGATGGCATATTTTCTTTGATGACATTTCTATGAGGCCAGATGGAAAGCTCTCCAAATCTCAAAAACATATAATTGATCCAGTATGTAAAAATAACACTTGTTGTCTGTTTACTAATTTTAAATCTGAAAGCCATGTCAGAATAATGAAAATCGTGTCTCAATTTCATAATTGTTAAAAATAAATGATTTTTCAAATTCAATGTCATGACTTCTTTTGTTCTGTTAGTTGGAAACTGTATTGGGATAACTTGATCATTCGGTACCAAAAAAACATATACACCAAGGAACTGATCAGGTGTTAAACCTGTGTAATATTTGAATTGTTTTGCATCATGAATGATGACATCAACATTAAATTCCTGTGAAAGTTCAGCTTGCAATTTTACATTTCTCTTCTCTGTGTAGGTCTTCTGATGAAGTTGATCATATGCTCCATATACAGCCTGAAGTTTATCATTTAAGCTTTTATTTTCCTCCAAAAAATTCTTGTTTTCTGCGGCCAGTAGTAAAACATCCATAGGTTCAACCCCTGGAATAAATTGCAAATAAATATAGTTGGTTTTTTTTTCACTGATACTTCATGTAATTTTTTTTACAGGCATCCTTCTATGAGCCACATGTGCAAAAGACAGTGGATACAAAATGCGGAGATCTAAAATTACCCTATATCTGTCCAGTTTTACTACCAGATGAATATAAACATCTATCAGAATCTCTAGCAATAGACTTCAACGAAGCTTATAAAATTCAGGAAGAAACACAAGAACAGTATAATTCACAGAGATGGCAGTTAGAGAGCAAAAAACGCCTTACAGCATCAAAATTTTATGAAATATTACACAGAAAATCTATTTCTTTGAAGTATGTAAGAACTATTTTAGATCCAAAACCATTTAAGTCTACTTCCACCTCATATGGAATTGCAAATGAAAAGAAGGCCAGGGAAATGTATGTTAAAAGGTAGGGATTACATGTACATGACTGCGGACTGTGCATTAATCCGGAATTTCAATTTCTAGGGGCAACACCAGATGGAATAGTCTGTGACGGAGGTGTAAGTGGAATTATTGAAATAAAGTGCCCATACACTGCCAGAGATTTGACCATTGAAGAATCTCTCTCCCTCCCAAATTTTTGTTTACTTGAATCTGATGGAAAAATTTCTTTGAGAAAGTCTCATGCTTTCTATTTTCAAATTCAAGGACAACTATTGGTCACTGGAGTTACTTTTTGTGATTTTATTGTATTCACTCGAAAAGAATTACATGTTGAAAGAATACACCCTGATGTTGATTTTATGAAAGAACTTGGTTCAAATTTAAGTGAAATATACTTTCGTTACTTTCATGATTTAATTGAATAAACTGTTGTCTGCATTTATGTTGAATATTGTCTGCAATTCATAATTGGCATCCATGCACTTACATTTTTCCTCAGTTTGAGTGCATGTTGACAAACCAGTCATATGCTGAGTAGATTCATCATATTGTTCTTCATGGTTTTCATGATTTTCTAATTTACTGAAATTATAGAACAAAGATCACTGTAAAATTGATCTCTCAGCAAAATGTTTCACATATATCAACATAGAATTATAGGGCTAACTTTATTTAGACCATGAAGATATTAAACTACAAGTTTTATAAAAGTTAAAAGTTTGTTCAATAAATAGAGTTATAATTTTTCAAATTTAAATTTAAATTTCTTTTTATAAAATTTGCATGGGAATAATATATAATGATAAGTTTTTACCTTGACTGTTTGTTAAAGATTCCTCTGTTCTTTGGAGGGGGTCTTGATGGCTTGGGTGTGCTGCTACTGGTAGTCAGAGGAATGGGGTCAGGATATGTTGGTGTAGGACCACAGCCATTCATAAAGTGCTGCAATCAAATTAGCATGACTCTTAACAAACAAATTTTCATTTAAACACATATTCATAATGTTCTGCATATTTAAATTATCTTTATCAGTCCATAGATATAAGTGTAACATACTGGCTGAATAGGAACATTCCCAAACCATATGCAAAATTTTCACTTCTCAAGGTTTTATCATCTTATGATGTGAAGTGCATGTTAACCCCTTACACTATAGAACACATCCTAGTTAGACAGTAACCCCGGCATACACGTACGATATATTGCTGACATAACAGACGATGTTCAAAAACAGCAAAGGAAATTCTGGCTGATTTTGTTAACACTCTTCGTAACTTCTGTTAAAATCTTTTATCATAGTGTGGATTCATAGACTACATTCTGTAACAACATACCTTTGAGCAGACATAAGTGTTTTTCGTTATCCTGTCGACGTTAAGTTGTGTGTGTTAACGATTACATGCCTTGATCCACCGTCGACATTTGTCTAAATTTGTTTTGGGTTTAGGGAACGGGTAAAATATCACCCCCTCATTCCGACCCGGATACCGACTATCACTGTTACAAAGTCCGAAAGCACATCTTTTAACCATAATAATCTCTTTATATTGAAAATAAATATACTGTAGTAGTTTTGTTTGTCTAACCTTCCGCCATGCAACTTTTAGTGACGCTTACTCTACGTCATACATATTCTCTGATTGATCAGGTCAATTATCCCGGGAAAATTGGCGATTCGCGAATTGATTAGATTAACGAAGCCCAAACATCTTGATCTCCGCATATGTTTTACGCAGCATTGTTTCAGATGCGTCACAGTACCTTTCGATGCCGTCACAATTGAATACAATAATGTCACAGTTAAAATGACGTCAAATTGTGCTAAGAACTCCGCTATTTTTACATGGTATAGCATTTAGTCTTAAAAGTTTCTCCTTGATGATGTTTATCTACCTTTTTATTAAAAACTTAAAAATGCATGCAGTAGATTACCAGCTCATGCAACCGAGAGGAAATATGTTAGTTTCCTACATGTACCTAACTACACTGTAGTAGTTTTGTAATGTAACCCCCCCCCCCCTCCTTCCCTCCCCCATTTCCACGTGAAAACATTGTTGTATATTTAATAATAATTAAGCAAAAAATGAAGAGAAAATTCTTTCATTATATATAAATCATTCAATATTGAGACTCATAAACAGTACAAATGTCATTTGCTCATGTTTTATAAACCTACTGCGACTTACACTGTATGAAGTATCTTAGGTAAAATTTGAAGTTCTAATTTTGTGTTTCGATATGCCTCCTTTTCCCTTCAATGAAGGCTTCCTCAAATTTTCTTAATTTTTAAAAAGAAGAATGTATATTGCGTAATATAATTATCAAGGAGAAATGTTTGAAAATACAAACGTTACAATATACAACAGGAAACTGCATTAATTATCAAAAGAGTGGATAAACGGTAAGGAAATTAACTCTTCCAAGTATTGTCACACATAAGAGGAGATTTGCTAAAGGGGAAGTGACTCTTTCCAGTATTGCAAAAAAAAAAAAAAAAAAAAAAAAAAAAAAAAAAAAAAGAAAATAAAGTGCATTGCTTTATTTATCCCTAATTATTTGTAATATATGTATATATCATGAATAAAATACAAGATGAAGATAATAAAAAGAGATCGACCTCATAGAAATTTAAAAACTGTACAAATCAGTGAATTGGGCATTAAACAAGGATCTCTGGAAATAGAACTAGGCATCTCCTGTTAACCGGTCACACCCGCCGTGATTACAATGTATTGGTCAGGAAGACGGAACATATTGTAGTCAAATATAAATAAAAAGTAAAGCATAATATTTGATATGAAGCACGTCGTTGAATTACGACCCAATGATATGTTACAGCAAAGTCATTTTGACGACCACAGAATTTAAGAAATGCTGACTTTATACGATTAAGATGAAATCCCTTTAACATTATCCATTTATTGACAGGGTTCGGCCTCAGGCAAACAGTTTGGTTCTTGGGTCCGACAAAACGCATGTTGCCGAGAACATCGTCAATAAATGTTTTGTTATACCTTTTACTTTTTATTTTAACATAACATGATGTAAATTTTGTTTACCCGCACTGCGGTTTGAACTTGGTCAATTCCGTAAAGTTCTGTCGAACTCCAACGAATGCAAATAAGATACAGCTGACCCCGCCCACACTGTGACGTAAGCGGTCCAATATCTCATCAACAATATCTCGCTCGATTTATTTTTGACCGCTATGTAAAACATTGAAAATTTAAAAGGCTTTTTTTAGTATAGAATTTTATATGAAACATTTTTTAAAGGAATAACAACTTATATTTGGAAATAGTTTCTATGATATCTAGGAGCAATATTGCTCAACAATATTGTTTGTTATTTTATTTTTTTAAATAGAATTCTATAAATTTTACAAATAGACATTTATTACTTCTAGTTATTTTTAAATCTTCAAATTTTAAAGTGTATCTAACTTAAGCTATGTCACTTGCCGGGTTTAAAAAAAAAAAAGTTCTGTCAGAACCTTTAACTTCAAAACTATTTATTACAATTCCATTTTAATAGCAAATTTTAATTAGACAATGGAAATTATATACACTGTAACTTTAATTTAAAAACTGCACACAAAGTCATTACGAAAACAAAAGATTTATGGGGGACTATTTCTTGTGGTGGAAGGGTATTTAAATTTTTAATACCCCAAAATAGGGGCTTTCTTGAGTGCGTATTTATTTATTTACATGATTTGTTCAATGATGAATATTTTTCAAAATATTATACGAAAGATAAGATTATATTATTCGCCTTGATTACATCTGATAAGATATGATAAAGATTAAATTGTTACAATTTAAGTACAAAAAGGTCAAGTTTATGGTACCGTGCTCAAGAAGACACTGACCGCCAATTTTCCTAGCAATTTTGAAACATACGAGAACGTACCTAAAATATACATTCAAAAATATCCTTGATATAACTATTTTCCCGAGTGACATATCTTAAAGCATAATTAAATTACAAAAAGAACTTCTGAACAAAGTCTTATATATTTTGAAGTAAAACACATCTGAAATTTTACCCCATGTCTTAACATAAATATTCAAATTAACTACAAGGGTTGATCCAAAAGTTCGTGGAATTTCTGTCTAAAATTTTATTGTGACGTGATAAAAGCATACAAAATACATATCTATGAAATAGAGCCAATATGCAACTATACTGGAAAATTTCATCACACTCCCATTACCAAGAAGGTCACATGAGAAGTAATAAAGCCTTAGCAAAAACCATTCAAAAGTTATGGCCAAGGTTAAAGTAAGTCAAACTCCTATATATGTCAAAGTCAAAGTGGTTGGTATCCTAAGGAAGGTGATGTCACATGGATTACATATGTGAAGTATGAAAGCCTTAGCATCAAGCATTCAAAAGTTATGGCCAAGGTCAAAGTTTTTCAAAAGTAGGTCAAACTCCAAGGTCAAGGTCAAAGTGGTTGGTGTCCAAAGGAATGTCTTGTCACAAGGATAACATATGTGAAGTATGGAAACCCTAGTTTCAACCGTTCAAAAGTTATGGCCAAGATTAAAGTCAAAAGAAGGTCAAACTCCAAGTTCAAGTTCAAAAGGTCAAAATTGTTGGTATCCAAAGGAAGGCCTTGTCACAAAAAATACACTTGTGAAGTTTGAAAATCCCGAGCACCAACTGTTCAGAAGTTATGACCAAGGTTAAAATCTCATAAAAGTTTGCAAAAGTGGGTAATACTCCAAGGTGAAGGTCAAATATGATGGTACCCAAAGAAAGGTCTTGTCACAAGAAATACACATGTGAAAAATGAAAGTCATAGCTCCAACCAATCAAAAGTTATGCGCAAGGTTAAAGTTGACAACAGACAGACATACAAACAAACAGACAGGACAAAAACAATATACCCCTGGGATCTTTCGATCCATGGGCATAAAAACTAACATCTAAAATATTAAGAAACCGTAAAGGTTCAATGATGTTCAAAATTCTATATTTCTGCAATCACCCTTATAAATCTATTCATATTTTAGCATTTTATAGGACATTACTGTTAAATTTTGAATGAAAGAATCAAAACGTACAGGGATTTTTTTTTTTCCATTTTACTTCTACATGTATGAACACGAGTTTTTTTTTTTTTTTTTTTTTTTTTTTTTTTTTTTTTTTTTTTTTTAGTTAAGGTATTTCGTCTTCACGGAAGACCTTATAGTGATTCTACTGTTTCTTCTTCTTCTTCTTATTTTTCATTTTTATTTTTATTTGACCTTTTCAAATCGCGATATCTCAAAAACTACTCATTCATTTTCAGCTAAATTTTCAGGAATGATGTGTTATCTCATGCCATTTTGAAATATCGAAAAAGTTTGGAGAAAATTACGTCCGGTCAAGAATTAATACGATTTTTCAAGTTTTACACTAAAAATCTGGTCCGTGAATGTTCTCAGAAACTGTTAAAGGTTTTTGTTTTTGTTTGTATGTTGTTTAAAGTCCCTCTCGAGAATTTTTCACTCATATGGAGACTTTTAAAGGTAGGAGTCAGAAACTTTCAG